TATTTGTATGTACTGTAAATAATAGGGAGCGGTGGTGCATCGGTTAGTGCGCTGCGCTACAAATCCAGCGACCCAATTTCCATTCCCGCGCACGCAATCCGGGCCTCCTCTAGGTCGACTCAGCCTCAAATTAGTACCTGGTAGCGTTGTGTAAACATGACCACTGAGGGGGGGGGGAGACAAAGGCGGTCGGGCGGGCGTGGTGCCCGTAGCTTTCGTAGGCGCTGCTGCTACTCGCTGCTAACAGCACTTGCCCCAACAGTCTGTTGCAGGCTACACGGGGGATCTTTGTATTTTTCATGTTAACAAACAAAACGTGTTAACGTTTACTTAATAAGCCAGGCCTTATCTATACACATATATCGGACAATCTATTGATGTACTTGTTGTTGTATGTGTTCCTCGTTAAAGTGTGAGAGATTAACGCGTTAGATTGTACGCGATTAACGGATATGCCGAGCGGTCCATTTGCAGATACCCCACCGCGTGTCTCATGCCAATCTCAATAACGCAGCGCGTCACTGCTGGGGGTTAAATAAAGGATGTCAATCTCTGGACGTAACGAACCCAACAGGGTTAAATAAAGGATGTCAATCTCTGGACGTAACGAACCCAACAGGGTTAAATAAAGGATGTCAATCTCTGGACGTAACGAACCCAACAGGGTTAAATAAAGGATGTAAATCTCTGGTCGTAACGAACCCAACAGGGTTAAATAAAGGATGTCAATCTCTGGACTTAACGAACCCAACAGGGTTAAATAAAGGATGTCAATCTCTGGACGTAACGAACCCAACAGGGTTAAATAAAGGATGTCAATCGCTGGACTTAACGAACCCAACAGGGTTAAATAAAGGATGTCAATCTCTGGACGTAACGAACCCAACAGGGTTAAATAAAGGATGTCAATCTCTGGACTTAACGAACCCAACAGGGTTAAATAAAGGGTTGCCGATTACGTGAGACAAGGCATCTGTCCGGCTAATCGCGTGGCGAAATAAAGGACCCCGATCGCAAGAGACAATGGATCTAATTGACCCCTCTCACTCGTGGTTAAATAAAGGACGCCGATGGGAGTTCTCGTAAGCGAAGTTCTCAGCAGGTTACATTAAAGGGTCGTGGTTACAAGCCAGGACGCCCGTGGCAGGCAACTGGGGTATCTGCAAATGGATCGCGACGATGGCAGGAACGCGTCCTGCCATGGGGGCTCTTGCCCCCACGGGCTGCCCAAGGCTACACGGGGCGCTTTTGCCTTTATAGTTGTCGGAGCATGTCCCGGACATTCTCGGGGGGCCAGACAATCATTGCTAGCGGGCTGTGCCGGGTGGTGGCGGCGGCTTTCACGACACATTTGTATATTTACGCGATCTAACCCCCCCACCCCCCCCCCCAAAAAAACACTTACGGATGATATTGGTCGCGAAAGCCTCACGTGTTAGGCAAGTTAATTAGGGATTAGTTTTGCACGCTGTCATCATCATCATTATTATTGTTGTTATCCTAATAAAATTAATTTATAATCGTAAATATTCGCGCATTAATTTCACGGGGTCTTTGCGTTCATTGTGAAAATCGAGAATCGGTTGTTACCCCCTTTTTGTTGCCAATAAAACAGGAGTTGTGTTTGTTCAATCCTCGAGTCGGCCGTCTTTCGCAAGGCATCAAAGACCCGCATTGTAACACGTGACACCTCTTCTTGTTTTCAAATCATTCTTAACGCTGCCAACGAAAAGTCCCATCGGTAATTTGTAGAGGTGTGGAGTGAGTCACGCACCTACGGGCACTTGCCCCAGCTGCCTGCGAGAGGCTATACGGGGAATCTTTGTCTTTACAAACAGATACAGATCCCCCGTGTAGCCTCTAACAGGCTGTAGGGGCAAGTGCTGTTAGCGAGTAGCAGCGCCTATGAAGGCCGGAACGGCACACGAGGGGGTGGGTGGCCAGCACCACGCCCGGCCGCCTTTGTCTCCCCGGTGGCGATGTTTGCTACGCACCTTACCAGGTACTCATTTGAGGCTGAGTCGACCTAGGGGAGGCCCAAGACTTGTTCATATAATCGTCACCGAGTGGCCGGGTTTGTAGCGCAGCGTAGCGCTAACCGCTACACTACCGCTCCCCACACACTCACGCACACACACAAGACAAAGATTCCCCATATAGCCCTAACAGACTGTAGGGGCAAGTGTTGTTAGCGAGCACCTATAAAGGCCGGCACGACACACGAGGGGGTGGGTGGCCAACACCACGCCCGACCGCCTTTGTCTCCCCAGTGGCGATGTTTACACCGCACCAGGTACTCATTTGAGGCTGAGTCGACCTAGGGGAAGACCAGGACCGCTTCAGATAATCGTCACCGGTGTTGATTGTGAGCGGGAATCGAACCCGGTTCGCCAGGTTCGTAGTGCAGAGCGCTAACCGCTACACCCACCGCTCCCCACACACTCACGCACACACACAGACACACACACAATCATCATCACACAGACACAATCATCATCACACACACAGACACACACACAGACACACTCACAATCATCATCACACAGACACAATCATCGGTGAACCGAGTAATTTGCCTGGCGTTGAGTGTGACGGTAAAGGCATTAAAAGGCGGACCTCTTGACACGGACTTATCCACACATCAAATACAAAGATCCCCCGTGTAGCCTCTAACAGACTGTTGGGGCAAGTGCTGTTAGCGAGTAGCACCTGTGGGTGGGTGGCCAGCACCACGCCCGGCCGCCTTTGTCTCCCCAGTGGCGATGTTGACCACACATCGCACCAGGTACTCATTTGAGGCTGAGTCGACCTAAGGGAGACCCAAGGACCGGTGTTGGCCGTGAGCGGGAATCGAACTCGCGTGGCCTGTTTCGTAGCGCAGCGCGCTAACCGCTACACCCACCGCTCCCCACAGAAACACACAAGACAAAGGTCCCCCTGATAGCCTTAACAGACCTTTCGGGGCAAGTGCAAAGGCTCCCGGCACAGTGGCGCACGAGGGCCGTGGGGTCGGTCAGGAACCACGCCCGGCCGCCTTTGTCTCTCCCCCAGTGGCGCTGTCCTACACCTGCAGTGCCTGACGTTTCGCCATACCTCCCCCTCGCAGGTCATCAGTGCGGTTGGCGAGGAGGCTGATGTGCGGACGCCGTTGTGGTCGAACTTCTTTCGCACCACCCCACGTAGACAACCGCGTTACTCGCAGGTGCGGGGGGAAAGGACGACACATTAAACACGACAAGCAGTTTTACAGAAATGGGTCTCTGTGTGAGTCTCTGTGTCTCTGTGTGAGTCTATGGGTCTCTGTGTGAGTCTATGGGTCTCTGTGTGAGTCTATGGGTCTCTGTGTGAGTTTACGGGTCTCTGTGTGAGTCTGTGGGTCTCTGTGTGAGTCTATGGGTCTCTGTGTGAGTCTATGGGTTTCTCTGTGAGTCTGTGGTTCTCTGTGTGAGTCTATGGGTCTCTGTATGAGTCTATGGGTCTCTGTGTGAGTTTATGGGTCTCTGTGTGAGTTTATGAGTCTCTGTGTGAGTCTATGGGTCTCTGTGTGAGTCTATGAGTCTATGTGTGAGTCTATGGTCTCTGTGTGAGTCTATGAGTCTCTGTGTGAGTCTATGAGTCTCTGTGTGAGTCTATGGTCTCTGTGTGAGTCTATGTGTCTCTGTGTGAGTCTGTGGGTCTCTGTGTGAGTCTATGGGTCTCTGTGTGAGTCTATGGGTGTCTGTATGAGTGTATGTGTCGCTGTGTGAGTCTATGGGTGTCTGTGTGAGTCTATGTGTCTCTGTGTGAGTCTATGGGTATCTGTGTGAGTGTATGGGTCTCTGTGTGAGTCTATGAGTCTCTGTGTGAGTCTATGGGTATCTGTGTGAGTCTATGGGTCTCTGTGTGAGTCTATGGGTCTCTGTGTGAGTCTATGGGTCTCTGTGTGAGTCTATGAGTCTCTGTGTGAGTCTGTGAGTCTCTGTGTGAGTCTATGTGTCTCTGTGTGAGTCTATGGGTCTCTGTGTGAGTTTATGGGTCTCTGTGTGAGTCTATGAGTCTCTGTGTGAGTCTATGGGTCTCTGTGTGAGTCTATGGGTCTCTGTGTGAGTCTATGGGTCTCTGTGTGAGTCTATGAGTCTCTGTGTGAGTCTGTGAGTCTCTGTGTGAGTCTATGTGTCTCTGTGTGAGTCTATGTGTCTCTGTGTGAGTCTATGGGTCTCTGTGTGAGTCTATGTGTCTCTGTGTGAGTTTATGAGCCTATGTGTGAGTCTATGAGTCTCTGTGTGAGTCTATGGGTCTCTGTGTGAGTCTATGGGTCTCTGTGTGAGTCTATGGGTATCTGTGTGAGTCTATGGGTCTCTGTGTGAGTCTATGGGTATCTGTGTGAGTGTATGGGTCTCTGTGTGAGTCTATGAGTCTCTGTGTGAGTCTATGGGTATCTGTGTGAGTCTATGGGTCTCTGTGTGGTCTATGGGTCTCTGTTCTGTGTGAGTCTATGGGTCTCTGTGTGAGTCTATGGGTCTCTGTGTGAGTCTATGGGTCTCTGTGTGAGTCTATGAGTCTCTGTGTTGAGTCTGTGAGTCTCTGTGTGAGTCTATGTGTCTCTGTGTGAGTCTATGTGTCTCTGTGTGAGTCTATGGGTCTCTGTGTGAGTCTATGTGTCTCTGTGTGAGTTTATGAGCCTATGTGTGAGTCTATGAGTCTCTGTGTGAGTCTATGGGTCTCTGTGTGAGTCTATGGGTCTCTGTGTGAGTCTATGGGTATCTGTGTGAGTCTATGGGTCTCTGTGTGAGTCTGTGTGTCTCTGTGTGAGTCTATGGGTCTATGTGTGAGTGGTGATGGTGATGATGGTGGTGATGGTGGTGGTGATGGTGGTGATGATGGTGGTGGTGGTGATGGTGGTGATGGTGGTGGTGATGGTGGTGATGGTGGTGGTGATGGTGGTGGTGATGGTGGTGGTGGTGATGGTGGTGGTGATGATGGTGGTGATGGTGGTGATGGTGGTGGGTGGTGATGGTGGTGGTGATGGTGGTGGTGGTGATGGTAGTGGTGGTGGTGATGGTAGTGGTGGTGGTGGTGGTGATGATGGTGGTGATGATGGTGGTGGTGATGGTGGTGATGATGGTGGTGATGGTGGTGATGGTGGTGATGGTGATGATGGTGGTGATGGTGGTGATGGTGGTGGTGGTGGTGATGGTGGTGATGGTGGTGATGATGGTGGTGGTGGTGGTGGTGGTGATGGTGGTGATAGTGGTGATGATGGTGGTGGTGATGGTGGTGGTGGTGATGGTGGTGGTGATGGTGGTGGTTGTGATGGTGGTGGTGATGGTGGTGGTGGTGGTGATGATGATGGTGGTGATGATGGTGGTGGTGATGGTGGTGGTGGTGGTGGTGGTGATGGTGGTGGTGATGGTGGTGGTTGTGATGGTGGTGGTGGTGGTGGTTGTGGTGGTGGTGGTGGTGATGATGGTGGTTGTGATGGTGGTGGTGGTGGTTGTGATGGTGGTGGTGATGGTGGTGGTGGTGGTGATGATGGTGGTGATGGTGGTGGTGATGGTGGTGATGGTGGTGATGGTGGTGATGGTCACGAGCAGGAATCTACTTCGGCTGACCGGGTTCGTAGCGCAGAGCGCGAACCGCTGCGCCACCACTCCCCACGGTGCACACACACGTAAACACACACACGTGCACACACACATGCACACACACAAGCACATACAGACACGCACACAAACATGCACACACACGTGCACACACATACACACACATGCACACACACGCGCACACACAAAGACAAAGATCCCCCGTGTAGCCTAAACAGACTGTGGGGGCAAGTGCTGTTAGCGAGTAGCACCTATGAAGGCCGGCACAGCACACGAGGGGGTGGGTGACCAGCACCACGCCCGGCCGCCTTTGTCTCCCCAGTGGCGATGTTTAGGGGCCGTCCATAAATGACGTCACGCACCTGGGGGGGGGGGGCGGGTCAGACATTTGTGACGATGTGTGACGAGGGGGGTGGGGTTGAGAAATGTGACGTCACATCAAAATAAATATAGACAACACGCTCTACTTAATTAAATATAATTGTTATAACAATACAAATTTAGATTAATTGTCATTATGAACTATTTGATTATTTTAATTGACTAAGGTCACCTTTTATTTATTCTATTAAGGAGCATTTTGCTTCTCCATCGGAGAATGGAGAAGAATACATTTAGTTATTCAACATTTTTATTTTAATGATTCTACCAATGATTCTATTCATTCTGCGGAATGAACACGCGCTTGTTATAACTCTACTCTCCATTTTGATTCGTTCTACTACGAAGTTTTAAGTATTTTTTCGTAGTTATAATTACTTTTAATGTTTGATAATTATAAGAGAATTTCAATATAATATTCTGAACATCTGCAGTTTTACTTAGACGATAAATATTTTCAAGTGAATTTTTCCTTTTTAATAAATATCAGCGCAGCGCTGATCGCTGCACCACCGCTCCCCGTACAGCGCTGTGCTTCGCAACCCGCGGCCTGTGTTCGATTTCCGCTCACGGCTAACATCAGTGGCGAGTGGTACGAGCACGGCCCATAACCCCGCTTTGGGGCCGTCCATAAATGACGTCACGCGATTTTGGACGATTTTTGACCCCCCCCCCCTCGTCACACGGCGTCACAAAAGTCAGACCCCCCCCTCAAATATGACGTCACAAAGCTCTGCCCCCCCCAACAGAAAAAATAAAACATGCTTCAAATCGCTTTAAACGATTGTTATTGTAGTGCGTGTTTAATGTGGCGCTGCACTCTGATGTTGTAGGAGAACACATTTATTAAAAAGTCTATTTAATTAAGTAGAACGTGTTGTCTATATTCATTTAAAGTTGCGCATTTTGATGTGACGTCACAATTGTCACCCCCCCCCTCGTCACACATCGTCACAAATGTCTGACCCCCCCCCTATAGGTGCGTGACGTCATTTATGGACGGCCCTTGTACGTGTGTGTGTGGGGGGGAGCGGTGGTGCAGTGGTTAGCGCACTTGAGCCACGAACCCGGCGACCCGAGGGGTCGATTCCCGCTCACGGCCACCACCGGCGACGATTACGGGAACCGTTCCTGAGGCTCCACTAGGTCGACTCAGCCTCAAATGAGTACCTGGTTGCGACGTGTAAACTTCGCCGCCAGGGAGACAAAGGCGGCCGGGCGTGGTGCTGGCCACCCACCCCCTCGTGTGCCACAGTGCCGGTAGCCTTCATAGGCGCTCGCTGACAGCACTTGCCCCAACAGCGTGTGAAGGCTACACGGGGGGTCTTTGTATTTGTATCTACGTGTGTGTGTGTATATGTTTGTGTGTATATCTACGTGTATATGTATATCTGTGTGTGTGTGTATACGTGCGTGCGTGTATGTCTTTGTATATATATGTGTGTGTGTGTCCGTGTGTGCTTGCGAACAGCACTTGCCCCAACAGTCAGTCACAGGCTACACGGGGGATCTTTGCTTGCTGCTGATGATGATGATG